GCTTTGGTGAAGATATTGGCGAGCTGATCGGTGGTAGACACATGCCGAGCGGAAATCAAACCGGCCTGATAGCATCATGTACATAGTAACAATCGACCTTGATGTGTTTAGTACGTTCATGAAACACATGGTTATGAGCAATATGAAGAGCTGAACGACTATCACACCAAAGAGGCATGGAGTGAGAATGGACAATACCAAACGTAGACAACAAGCCTTTGAGCCATTTTAATTCGGCAGTAATGGTTGCCATAGACCGATACTCGACTTCAGTAGACAAACGGGTGACAGTACGTTGTTTCTTAGTTTTCCAGGAGAGAGGTGACCCGCCCAAAAAAATGATCTAGCCAGTGAGAGAGCGTCGAGTGATCGGGCAGCTTGCCCAGTCGGAGTCACACCACCCAGTAATAGTAAGGTTACCAGCAGAGTGAAGAAGAATGCCTTGGCCCGGAGTGCCTTTCAGGTACCGACCCCACCGTAGGCCCGCAGTCTAATGATCTTGTCTGGGGGCCTGCATAAACTGAGATAAAATATGCACCGCATAAGTCAGGTCAGGTCGAGTAAAAGACCGATGAATGAGACGTCCAACAAGGCGTCTATATGACTTCGGATCCGAAAAGATATCACTTGTGGAAGCAGCCAACGAATGATTCTTTTCCATAAGGAACTCAGCGGGTTTTGCACCAAGCAGACCTGCCTCAGAGATGATATCGAACACATATTTTCGTTGGCAAAGAAAGAGACCCTCTGGAGTACGTGCCACCTCAATGCCGAGAAAATATTTAAGCAAGCCCAAATCTCCTTCATATGAAAGCAAGCATGTAGGATTTAAAATTTAGTAATGATAGCAGGATTATTGCCAGCGATGATTAAATCATCCACGTAAACCAAGACATGCAGGTGATCGGACCCATGGCGCAGAGAGAATAAAGAGTAGTTGGAATAGGAATGAGAGAACCCATATTTCCGCAAAGCAGTAGCCAGCTTAGCAAACCAACCCTTAGGCGCCTGGCGAAGACCGTATAAAGGTTTTCTCAACCGACACACCATACCAGGCCGAGAAGAGAAGAAACCAAGAGGGGGCTTCATGTAAACCTCCTCATCCAAATCGCCGTGAAGAAAGGCGTTGTGAACATCCATCTAATGTAATTCCCAATTCTGTGTGGCAGCAACAACTAAAAGAGTGCGAACAGTAACCATCTTTGCCACGGGGGCAAAAGTTTCAATGTAATCAATCCCCTCCTGCTGATGATTGCCAAATATAACAAAGGGCGCCTTAAAACGCTCTAAGGAACCATAAGAGTTATATTTGATTTTGTAAACCCACTTACACCCAAGCGCTCGCTTACCAGGTGGAAGGGGTGCCATGACCCAGGTGTTATTATTTTCAAGCGTCGTGATTTCCTCTTGCATGGCCTGATGCCAACAAGGATGAGTCATAGCATCACGAAAAGATTTGGGCCGGGCTCCTGCCCTGCAAGAACAGCTCCAGCTCCAAGAAAACCAGAATAACTAGAGGAAAACTTATCACAGTTTACATGATGAGTTATACTATAAGGCGTACCTGAGGAATCGAGAGGAACGAATTGCGGCGGATGTACATGATGAGTAACAAAATCTTGGAGAAGCACAGATGTACACCTGGTCCGCATACCTCATCCAAGAAGATCAGTAGCAGCTTGAGTATTGGCAGTATGCTGTTCGGCCATAGAGGAAGGTGTCTCAGCGGTGGTGGTTTCGGGTATATAGACCTCAGGTTTGGATAAAAAATAATGGGACCAGAGTCATGTTGAGGAGAAACACGGGGAATGTTGTCCGAGAAAGGAAACTCGTCCTCATGGAATTTAACATCTCGAGATACAAATAGATTCCTGATGTCCCAATCATATAGTTTCCACCCCTTCTAACCATGAGGATAGCAAACAATTCGTTCTAGGATTAACTCCTAGGATTGCAATTGCATTGCTTACCCAGATCGGCGGTGTCACATATCGGAGGGAAGTGTGCTCGGCCAGCGGTGTCACTAGCCCTGGGGTGGCGGTGTCATCAGTGGCGTAATCAGGGCACTATGCCACACTAGGCCAGTTAAAAAAAATATTGAAAAAATTTTTACACGGAATTTTTTACATTAAAAATTTAGACAATTTTAAAATTTGGACTAGGCCTGGGTTGGCCCTCCCTTAGCTCTGCCTCTGGGTGTTATTGGTGTTTGTGGTGGAGACGATCTGGTAAAGTTAACGTGACGAGCCGGTTGTACGGTGCACTTTTGTAATATAAGTGAAAATCACGGTTTCTGTTAAATGAGCAGTAATGCACTTTTGGTGAGAATCAAACTTATTTTGTTGAGTATTAGAGGTCAAAGAGTATTAGAAGTCAAATATTAAGCATGTTGATCTCTACCTCATATCTTGCAATTCACTTTCTTTTTCTTATTTTCTAAAATATTTATAATGAACTCATATGAATCCATTATGTGAGTCTAGCTAGTGTAATACTCCCTCCGTCCCTGAAAGAAGTTCCCATTTGACTCTCACACACTTTTATGCAAGTAAACTTACCAGGGGGTAGAATTTACTATTTTAACACTGTTTCAACACTGTTTGGCACTGTTTAGATGTAGATAACTTTCCATTTAAGGAAATGGGAACTTAAATTAGGGATATCCAAATAAGGAAAGTGAGAACTTCTTTCGGAGACGGAGGGAGTATTATACTTGTGAAATATGCGTGGATATAACATTTCAAAATGAGCATTACTCCAATACTAAAAGAGCATACAAAACTTATGAAATGAGCATCGAAAAATTCAAAAAAACTCATTTAAAATCTCTAATACACTCCAATATTAAATGAGCATACATAACTTACGAAATGAGCATCGAAAAATTTAGAATGAGTATTATACCAATATCAAAAGAGCCTACATACCTAAGTCCACAATCCGCTTGAAATCTTTCTTTGTGAACCTCAAATAGGATAAGGGGCTCGGAATTTCACTCTCCCAAAGCTAGAACCCATTCTGAGGCTGTCGGAAACAATGAGATTGTGCGGTTGTGCCTCCAGATCTTCGAAGACGGCAATACCTCAACGGTGGCTCCTCAACTATGTAGATATCGAACAACCTGAATGACGATTCATGCTCGCGAGCGGCGCAGGACATTCAATACTCTGAAAAATACACAATAGTACCATGTTCAAGGTACAACCAGTTGTAGGATATAATTTGCCAGAATTTGGTGCATTAAACCCATGCCATTGTCAATGCCCAAGCCAACATCCCCTCATAGAAACCTAGTGGCATCAATTACTTACGAACCCTCTCGTTACTTATATTCCTAGTTAGCTTTTTTCCGTTTTAAACATGTACCGTTTTTTTGAGTAAAAAAACACGTTTAAAACGAAAAATAATGTCGGTCCGTTTAAAAAGGAAAATAAAACTCCTACTTCCCGTATAAAACGTATTTTTCCCGTATTTTACAAAAAAACAAAAACATGAATTGATCAATTAAACGAATGCATTAAATGCATAGGAGATCAGCAATAGTTTAAAAGTAGAAATGAAAACACCCTCCTGTGATTCTGTGTTTTTGTATTGTTACAATACAATTATTAATCACTAAAATTAATTGCATAACGGTTAAAGCTAGCATCCTAAAGACTAAAACTTAAAATACTACTCCCTCCATCCCTAATAGTTCTTTTAAAGTACAAATGACACACATATTAAGAAAGTGAGTATTGTGTTGTGGAGAGTTGTGCAAAAGATAAAGAAATGTGTAAGAAATGTTGTGAATCACTAATTCATTACCAAAAAAGGAAAGTGGAAGTTCTTTTGACATGAATGAAAAAGGAAAGTTAAAAGTTCTTTCAGGGACGGAGGGGGTAGTAGATTTCTGATGTTTTTTCAAACAAGCTTATCAAAATTAAGGTTTTTCTAAACTCGACATTTTTTAGTATAAACTTTTACACAAACAATAATAAGCGTAGCACTAGCACAACTTTTCTCATATGTCATCTGTCATCTTGATGAAAATTATGAGTTTAATTTGAGTGTTATTTGATGATAATAGAAACATAATGATTTTAACTTAGTCTCATTCTATTGTTATTATGCCTTATTTTTTTGACGTCATTTTGCAAAATTATGTCTTGGACTTGCACCAAAAGGCTCTCCGGTAGAATTACGAATTATTTTTAGGTAGCAATGGAATTTGCGTCCTTGTCCTGGAGGCTCTCCGGTAGAATGACGAATTATTTTTTATGTAGCAATGGAAGTTGCTACATGAATATGTGTGTACTTTTATTTCTTTTTACTATATATGTTGTTTTGTATAAAGTATATACTTTCAATGTTCAAAATAATGCCCCGTATTTTTTGTCTGAATTTTTGTAACCGATAACATATTATACACGTATACGTATGTACACGTTTTATAAACGTCAACGTTTCTTTCAACGAATTTTTGACCGTTTTTTTCATTCATGTTACTGAATAAAACGCGAACGTATTAAACCTCGTTTAATTCCCGTACCGTATTTAACTAACTAGGCTTATATTGGCTAACATGGCTGCTGCCTGCTGGATCTTAATTTAGTTCTCACTATTAGTTGCAAAGATTTTATGGATGTCTGTGTATCTAAGAACTGAATCAAATTAAGATGCTTGTTGAAATTGCTACTTTTAGGTTGTGAATGAGTTAGGCGGAATTGTCATTTCTATTAATGCTGGATATAATAGGTAAACATTTAACACTGCCGTTGACTAGAGAAGGTTTAATAGTTTCTAGTGATCATTTTACCTATAGATTGACTATAACTCGTTCATGGACAATTCTCTGTGCAATTTAGTCTTTCCCATCGGTCAATGGTTCAAAACCAATCTCAAGATTCTCAACTAATAAACCAAGGAACTTGTGGTTATTTTACAAAATTCCACTTCAAGCCTGCTCCTATTATATCCATGCTCATAGTTAGGACCATGAAATAAAATACAAAAGGCCATGGAGCACAAAATAAAAGTAAAAACCACAAAGGCACCAATTATCCGAGAAAACATGTGATTGATAATCTTGTGTTACATATACAAGCACAACCCATGACAGTGCACCTTATAAACTGATTCAAATGTCTAAAAATTAGGGAATAAACTTTTCAGGCTGGAGACAAGATATTTGGTGTCTGTAAAGATAACTTCTGCTTTTGAAGATGCACGGGCAAAGGTGGTCATCTTCCGTCTGAATTTGGAAGCTAGAGAGGCGTCGATATCAACCGATTCTTTAATAATAATTTCTTCAAGCGCAGGAGCTCTTGAAAGGATTGTTTTAATAAAGGCCACTTCCTCTCTTGATCCATTAAATGATTGCATCTTCACCGATTTAAGCTTGCGCAGATCCTGATCATCAAACCATCTGTTTGGATCTTTCGGTATACTCAAATCAGGGAAATCAGCTTCTTCTTCTTCTTCTTCATATGAGACCTGTGACTACAACAAAACAATGTTAAAAAATATTAAAACATAAATATCCAGCTTTTAATAACCAAATGCACAGGTTAACTTTAGGATATTACGGAGTACAACCTTAGGTTTAATCTCAATTCCTAGTTCAAGTAGGTTTGGACATTTTTTAAGCAATTGAATGACAAGAACAATGTGCTTCTGGCAGAGAAAAGCAAAACCATGTAGCTTAATCACTTGCAGATTCATTGCAGTTGGGAACCACTCTTGGATATTTTTTTCAGGTTTAACCTTCATAAGGTAAAAACAAATGTTAACCTTGAATAAAACAAGAACAATAACAACAAAGAGAAAAAAAAATAGATTTTGCAACATTATTCACAAATGAAAGGTAAGGCTCTCACCAAAACTGAGTCTATCGTCAGAGAAAGGTTTTTAATCCCTAAGAGATGAAGTTCAAACCATTTCAATTCAATAGAGGAATTAGCATAAACAACTATGAGGCTTTTAAGTTTCGGAGCACTGAACACAAAATTATCTATCCGATGACACCAACATAGACTGAGCTCCTCAAGATTAGGAATGTTAACCGGGAGAGTTCCACTGGCCTTAGCCTTAAACTCAACTTCAGTGAAAATAATAGAGGTCACACCAGATAATATACTACCATGTGGAGCACAAACCGGACCATAAAAATCAATAGCATCAACATACAGTCTCTTTATTGTCGGGCAGGAAAATATGCAAGCCGGTATCGTGAGCTTCTCACTGTCTGGATGAGGAAGAATACTTAGGTGAAGTTGCTCGATACCATTTTTTGATAGAAATAGACACAAACCATCAAGATCAGATTGTTCAGGAGTATTGAACTTTCTATAAATTGAGAAGGAGAAAATCTTAACTGGCCCAGTACGGAGCAGGAGAACGTTAGTTATCGTTTTCACTAAAAACTTGAAATCATCCTCATCACGGCCTCCATTTGGGCAATCTTCCCAACCAAAGACAAGCTGACCGTGCCGCAACCAAACATCCTTCCATTGCCTGGAGAAAAGAGCAGTTTTGGCTGCGCTTCTAGTGTCTAAACGCTCCAATATTTTGTGCTTCAAATCTTCCGGTAGTTGACTTATTAGATCCGACCCAGGTTTGCTTCGACGACGACGAGCCATTAGCTCGAAACAGCTCGGAAGTATGCAAAAAAAAAAGCCTTCAACAGAGTACCCAATCTACACTTAAACCAGTCGACCAGTAAGTCTCGATTTCCGGTAGGGATGGGCACGATCCTGTCGTGTCCAATATTTGGCCCAACACGTACCCGTACCGTTATTATTGAAACAATTCGGTACGATTCGGTCTTAGACCCAAACCTGTTCGGTACGGTCCATTTTCAAACGAGACGGTATAATGCCATACCAATACCAAACAATGTCACTTTTTCCAGATGTTTGAAAAAATTAAAGTTTAACCATCCTCCAAAAATCCACACAATTTATCAATTTTCATATATCATACTACCTTCATTCCAAATTGATTTGCGAAGTCAATCTTTTTTTGGTCAAACAATTTCTTTTTATTCACTTAATTAGAATTTCACTTTTTAATTATATTCTAATTTGGCCTTTCAAAAAAACTACTCCATACTTTGTATATTTTAATTTCGATTTTGCAACTTTAGAGAGATTTTAATGTGGTTTCTAAATATGTAAATTTTAATTATTAAAAATTGTAGTAATTATCAAGAACTTAACATTAACTTTGACATAAAAATGTTGGCTTTGCAAATCAATTTGGGACGGATGAGATAATTAATATATTTTAGATAAACTATAGTAGTACAAATTTAATAAACCATACTTCGGTCCGTTTCGCTCTGGTACCAGTTTTCATTTTATGAGAATCGGTCATGGAATTGTTTGGAACCGGTTCGGTCCGGTTCGGAACAAAAAAATTTGAGATCCGTTTCAAACCCCGTTTATCGGTCCGGTAGCATACCGGTCCGGTTCGGTGTCATGCCGGTTCGGTATTTTTGTCCACCCTTAATTTCCGGAGTCATTTCTTGCATAGAGAAGAAACCAGAGGAACACCTTAATGAGGCGAAAAGGGAATGGATTCTATTCTTAAACCTTATGTCATTTGGACCTTAGTTTTGAGTATGGGTGGTTCGGTACGGTATACCTTATATTTTTTCTCATACCTTTGCCGTACCAAAACTTTCGGTATGCAAAATTTGCATACCTTTACCTTACCGAAGTTTCGGTATACCGTATTTCGGTATACCGAAGTTTCGGTTCGGTAACGGTACGGTATCGGTAAATTGCCGGGCATGTCTCCCAATACAAAAAATTATCATAGACTAACAAAATATATTAAATCGTTATTACTAGTGACATATTAAATCTAATATTAAACTATTACTACCTCTATCCGGTTGACGCGAGGTTTGACTCCCCACACAAACTGGCCGTAACACTCAAGCGTTACAAGTCATCACACCCAGAGGCCAAGACCTATCAACCATACATGAAAAAGGCGATCATTTTCCACAACATTTTGATTGTTAAAGTTTTTGTACTTGTGTGGCTTGTTTTCAAAATTCTCTTGTAATTGCATACTTTATTTAATAATAATAAAAAAGTGTGGGTTCACGATTGAGTAAATTGAAAAATCAACCTCCTTTTAACTCACCTAAATTTGAATCTTCAACGGAATGATGGCCTCGCAATGAAAAGAACTAGAAACAAGCAATCCATTATTTACAAGGACTTGATTGTTTGACATACTTGAGCGTCAGAATGTGCGGTTACAATTAAAAAGGTAAATTTTATAAACCTGTATGTCATAAACAGTTAACCAAACTAGCTAACACTTAATTTTTAAATGAGGCCTTATAGAAGAGCAGTTAACTACTTGAGTTTTTTATTCTCCCAATGACATTCATTTGGAGACCTTATATGTGAAAAACTTGTAAAATCCAAAGATCAAATAATAATTTATTACTTGATCAAAGAATTACACGTTTTAAGAGCAAACTGGAGTGAGCTTTAGACATCAAATGGCAAATAGAACTCTAAAAGGTAATGCACTTAGTAAAGTTGATACAAACCACTAAAATACATTCTTAAATTCTAGCAGAACAAGAGAAGCATTGGAGAATATGCAACACATGCATGGAAGAACCTATGCAGCAGGCTGTCTTGTGGACTCATTCATACTTTTCCTCCATGAAGACAACTTGGGCTTTTGGGGATGTACGAGAGAAGCTCATAACTTCATCTAGGGTTTCCAAAGCCTTGAAGTGGGATGCTTTCGTAATAACAAGTTCCTCAAGGGCAGGAGAGTTTAAAAGGGTTGTTTTAACAAATAGAACTTCCAGTCTGTATCCATGAAAAAATTGCATCTTCACTGTCTTAAGCATTTTCAGTCCATTTCTAAGAACAGAGCTGTAGGGATACTCCACAATCCTGGAAGCATCTTCTTCATCATCTCTTTGTCCATACTACGTGCAATACAAGGAAAAGAGAAATAGAAACAACATTAGCATTTGCTGACTGGTCAGAAATTTGGAGAAAATAATAAACACAAAATCGTAATCCCCAAATGAGTAGGTATTTAATAGGTCTTACATAATGCCATGTCTTAATTCCAAGTTCATGTAGCTTTGGACATTTTTGAATCAATTCGGTAATAAAGGTGAAGTGCTTCGCACGAACAAAATTGACACTATGAATCACAACCACTTGCAGATTTGTTGCAATTGGGAAAGTCCTTACAGCTACAGCATCAGGTGTATCCTTGAAAAAAAGAACACAAGTTACCCTTGGAACATAAGAACACAAAACAAAATATTTCACTATCACATCTGCATAACAAAGTGTATATAGTAAAAGATTTATTCTTACCGACAACAAATCTGCATGCATGTAAAGAGTATTGATTACAGCAAAATGGAGCACAAACCATCTTGAATCAGTCAGACTTCTAAAATTACGATCAATAGTCAAGCTCTTTAGTTTTGGTGCACAAATCACAAAATTATCAATTCCAGGACACTTATCAAAAGAGAGCTTCTCAAGATTTGGAAGACTATAGACAGTTCCCGTGGGATCAGGCTCGAAGACTACATACTCAAAAACCAATGAAGTGACGGCAGGGAACACACAATGTGAATTAACAGGGAAGCGAAAACTGAATCCACCAATAAGGGCTTGCTGAATTGTAGGGCAAGTGACTATACACTCTTGAAGATCATATGTTTCGTTAAAATTATGAATAGAGAGGTGAAGTTTCTCAATGCCTTTTCTCGACAGAAAAAGACACCAGCGATCTATATCAGGTGGTAGTGGCATCTGAATTCTTCCAGATATGTAATACTCCTCAAACTCTGAATGCGCCAGTGTAAATTTCTTAACCGGTCCCGTCCGGAGCATGACACACCGGTTCATAATTTCAACGCAATCCACTTTAGGTTCATCGTCATCGTCAAATTGTAGAAAATGTGAGAAAAAGTTGAAATCAAAGTCCAGCTGGCCGTGAGCAAACCATACATCCTTCCAGTGAGTTGAAAGAAGAGCCATTCTGGCAGCTTCACGCATGCTCAGCAATTCGAGAATTGATTCCTTCACCTCTGCTGGTAGTTGACTTATGAAGTCCTCTGTTGCGCCCGATGTGATTTTTCTTCGACAAACACTGGCCATTACACTGATAATCTTCATCAATTAGTCGGGATTTAGTACGGAGTATATAATTATATATATGCACAGCCGGTCAGGCTATAAATAAATTACCTTACATACTTGCATAAACTTATCCTCATGAATCATGATTAATACTTATGTTAACAAATCGGACTTCTTGTATTAGCAAATAAGACTGCTTTTAATTAGAAGTAGCAAATTGGACTAGAATTCTAGAAATAAGGAATACTGATACAGCAAGGACTGTTAGGTGATTATGCTGAAATGGTTTGTGACGATAAAAGTTTTTTTAACGATTAGGCGTTATACAATGGAAAATTCCTACACCTTAAACTGAACTTCATCTTTCACAAGCCAATACGCAAAAACCTGAAGAGATTCGGAATTACATGCGAACAAAGGACCGCCGAAACAAACCTGTATAGATATAGCCGGAAATATGGGACGTCGTCTCCGGTTGAAGGCGTCGTGCAAAGCGGAAACCTTTGAGGCAGTTTTTGTTTTAAACATATGGAATTGTAGCCAATTTTGTACTGTACTTCCTAATCGTGTGTGGGAGGTTTTTCTAAATAACATTATTTCATAACTCATACTCCTACGTAGTAACTTCTTTGACTTTGTTTTTCACATATTTGGAATTTATTACTACTAAGGGCATCCTCATTCAGAAATAAATATCTTGATAATGATTTGATAATCATTTTAATATTTGGAATTTGACGTAGTAAATAATTTCATTCATGAAATTACTTGATAATCATTTTAATGATGTGGATTATATTTTTTGAGATCCATTGAGAAGTTTTTGAGATTATTTTAATAGATTATTCTGAAGAATAGTTTGGTATCGAATTTTTAATCTGGATTATTCAATATTATAAGTTCTTTCTCCATCATTGAGACCTAGTACTAGGGTTGTAAACGAATCGAATCGAGTCGAATAATGAAATTTTGTATTTGTTTAATTTTTCGAATACGAATTCAAATATGGCACAGTGGCACCGGCTAATACGAATTCAATACGAATAGTTAACGAACTATATACGAACATCAAATCGATTTGAGCATAAATTAAGTGTTAGTCAAATATCACTTCAAAATAACTTTTCTTAGACTCCGTATTTTTTATGTTGTAAATGCATAATATGACTTAATATGTGTTTTTTAGAATTTAAATTTAATGGATCAATGCACTTTTAGATGGTGCACAATATATTAAAGTGGTGAATTAATTTTATGATTAATAAATATAAATCTATTTCAAACTTTTTGAACTAAACACTAACACAAATATTAGAAATTATACTTATAATGTGTGGAATAAGTTGATAATTGTATATATATCAAAGTCAAACAACTCTAATTTTATTCTTCAAATCGAATACATTTTTATTTGTATTGTATTTGAAATACATTTGAACCGGAAATTGATTTGTATTCATATTTATATTATGGTTTATTACAAATGGGCTTGGAATGTGTATGCAAAAATGCATATATGGGCTACTCTTTGAGGTTATTGCTATCTTTTAAAAGTTATTATAATGTTATTACTATCATTATATATTAAAGTTGATATTAATATTACCATTATTATTAATCGAATATATTTGATTAATATTCGAATACACTAATATTCTTATTTGTATTTGTATTTGATAACAACTCGAATTAAATTTAATATTCTTATTTGTATTTGAATTTTCCGAATTCAAATCTTCTTATATGAATTTGAATCGCGAATCGAGGACAAATTATTTGATTCGCGGTATTGCATTTAATTGCCCAACTCCTGATACTCCGAACTATTGAACACGATCACACAGCTGCTGCAGGCCTTTTAAAAAAAATCTGCGCCTGCAAACTGTAGGGAACGGCTAGGGGAAAGCGGAATGGTGGCGGCTCTTGGAGTAAAGAAGATGGTGGCACAGTGGCACCGGCGGATCCTCGTTTGAAAAGCAAGATAGTGGTGGCTCATGGAGTATAATCAAGATGGTGGCAGATCCTCTTGGGGGAAAGCACGATGGGGGTGGGCTGGTGGTTCTTGCAAATTATTGGGAATTGGCTTGATATACATACTTATTATCTATTTAATTTAATATTTACTTGATATCTACTTATTATCTATACTTATTGTTAGTTACTTATATTTACATATTACATTTAGGTAATATATACTTATATATATTAAAGTATTAAATATAAGTGTATTACTCATCTTATAGTAATATACTTATATATTATATACTATAAACATTATATTATTTATTAGTTATACAATTATTATATCTACTTACTCCCTCCGTCCCCTTTTAAAAGTCCCGGAAGAGGGTGGCACGAGTTTTAAGAAAAGTGGGTTTGTGTGGTTGATATTAATTGATAAAGTAAGAATAAAGTAAGAATAAAGTAAGAATGATTTTGAGCTACACAAATTTTACCAAATGAGGTATGAGACATTTAAATAGGGATATCTCAATATGTTAAAATGGGACATTTAATTGGGGACGGAGGGAGTATATACTTATTATCTACTTATAAATATAAGTGTACTACATATCTTATAGTAGTACTTATTTATTATATACTATAAACGATATATTATATATTAGTTACACTTTAATTAATAATAATGAAATTCATCATATTACTTATGCATCACACTCCCATTAATTAGTATACACATTCATACATTTTTTCAATTACTTACAATTTTTAATAATGTTAGTTCATTGGTACATTTTTTATTATTATTAATATTAGTTAATTGTTACATTTGTCATTAAAGTATTAAAGTAACTTAGTTAATTGTTTAATTATTAAAGTAGTTAATTGCTACCTTTCTCAATACTTTAAAAAACTAGTTAATTGTTACATTTCTCATTAAAGTATAAACCAAAATAGTTCATTTTTTTTCAAGGAAAAAATTGTAGTTAATTGATTATGAATTGGAAGGGGGTCACTTTGACGTTTTAAAGTGGTGGAAGGAAAAAGAAAGAACGTTCCCGGTTTTATCAAAGATGGCTAAGTAAGTGCTAGCAATGCCGATATCAACAGTTGTCATGGAACAAGAATTTAGTGCAGCCGACAACGTCCTAACGGATTATAGAACAAGATTGAGCGCAAACTCTCTTGAGACGCTTGTTTGCTTCCACAATTGGTTAAAGGCCGAAGGTAGAACTCAAGAATTGAACATCGCACCCACCCACAACTTTATGGAGGAAACAATTGAAGGCAGAGGAGATTCCGATTGATTATTTATTAGAAAATGTATTTCATTTATTAATTTTTTCTCAATTCTCAATTGTACTTCTTACTTCAAATAAATATACTTGAACTTTTTTATATCTAGCAAGTCTTGAATTAATTGGACAACACAAAAAAAATTAAGCCTGTAACCGGCCCGACCCGGTAACCGGCCTGGTGACCCGACCCGGAACCACTGTCTACCCGGGCCGGTTCCGGTCCCCCTTCCCAAAAAAGCCCGGCTGGACCCAGGCCCGAACCGGAACCGGCCCGGATCCATCCCTACTTAACATACGTATTACTCCATTTCAGTATTTCTAATTTTCTATACATACGTAGTATGTTTTAGTTTTATTTCACTATCCCCTGAACTTTAATTACTTGAACAATGCTTTAAGGCTCACTTAAATATCAGAGTTTTGATACATGTACCTCATTTCAATGTTACAAGACAGATTAATTATAAGCTTGCATTTTTTTAATGTTTTTCTATATAATTTTATTGAATAAAAATTGTAGCTTCATGACTGAATAAATTGAAAAAACAACTCCTTCATTTTAACCCTTACTTTAAATTTCCAAAGGACTGATGGCCTCACAATGCGAAGAACTAGAAACAAGCAAACCATGTAGCATGTAACTAGGGGTGGGATCGGGTCGGGTTGGGTCGGGTTTTTGCTAGGACCGTAAAAAAAAACCAAAAAGCTTCGGGTTCTACATTTTTGGGCCCGATGGGCGGATTAATACTTTCGGGTCGGTCCGGGTTTTAAGAGCCTCAAGTTCGGATTGGGTTCGGTTCGGGTCGGGTCGTATTGAACCCGCAAAAAAATCGAACTGATATATCTAAACACAATTAAAATACAATTACAACAAAATTTGCAAACATCTAAACTTTTAATCAAAAAATATACTACGTACATAGTATATTAAAATCAAAGCAGTATATTTTTAATATACAAATCACACGATAGAAAATGTTGTAGAAGAACAATTGGTTCGAAAGCAAAGTAACATTCCCTCCATCCCAAATTGATTTACAAAGTCAAGATTTTTTGGTCAACCAATGTTAAAGATAAATACTCCATATTGATATATCATTCAATTTTTTATAATTAAAATTTACATATTAACAAATTACATTAAAATATATTCAAAGTTGCAAACTCCAAGTTAAATATAATTAAAAATTGACATCCAAATTAAGTGAATAAAATAAAATGGTTTGACTAAAAAAGTCATTTTTGCAAATCAATTTGGGACGGATGTAGTATAAAATAGTCCGTACGTATCATACACACACACATAAATCGGTATGATGTATTAATAGGTCATACATATTTTGTATAATATATATATATATATATATATATTAGTTTCTTAATTAAATCGGGGTTTTTCGGTCCGGGTCGGGCTTAAAAATTTAGAACCCGAATTAGGACCCAGGTTTTCGGGTTCGAGTCGGGTATTTCAACCCGAACCGGTCATTTTTTAAATAAAACCCGGACCAATATCATATATCGGGTTGGGTCGGTTCAGTTATCGGGTTTTGGGTCAGTTTTTCCCACCCCTACATGTAACAAGCAAACCATTATTTATTTACAAGGACGTGATTGTTTAACATAGGGAGATTTACCTAAATAGGACTAAATAAAAGGATAATGGCAACAATAGGAGTTTAAAGTTTAAATTCCCAAAATAGGATTAACTTTTCCTATTCTACCCTTTCCTTTATCCTTCATAATAGGTTTTTTAAACAATCATTATAAAATATAAAAATATTTAAAAAAAAATTAAAATCGTTAAAAATAAATAAAAAAATATACAGACCACAACCACCACCTCAGCCACCTTCCGGTACCGCCACCTCCGGTCACCGGAAAAGATTGCCAAGTTGGGGAAAAAATGTCATCATAATGGCAATTTTGAAGAGAAAGCTGGATATTTTCAAAGAGTAAAAATGTCATCTTCATGACATTTTCAAAGAAATGTGACATTTTTTACACAAGATGGCATTTTTTTCCGGTGACCGGAGATGGTGGTGCTGGGAGGTAGAGGTCGTGTTGGCAGTGACCTACATATTTTTTAAATATTTTTTTAGGTATTTTATTTTATTTTTTAGACTTTTTGAAGTTTTTAAATTTTTTTTATTTTTATTTTTTTATTTTAAATTTTATTTTTTCACGTTTTTATTATTAATTTATAAATATTTTATTATTTTTAAATTTTTTACTATAAATAAAACCATGATTTTCTTATTAATAAAATAAATCTATTGAAAATTATAGGAAGAGGTAGAATGGGAAGAAGGGGCATATATTAGTCCTATTTTGGGAATAAAGGGATTGTACTCCTATTGTTGAATTGTGGGCTTATTTTAGTCCTATTAAGGGCTAATACCCGTTTAACATATTAAGCGTAAGAAATTAAGAATGTGAGATTACAATTAAAAAGGTAAATCTATAAACCATGATGTCATAAATCGTTAACCAAACTAGCTAACACTTAATTTCAAATGAGGCCTTTATAGCGGAGCAGTCAGCTACTTGGTATTTTCTTCTCCCATTGACATTTATTTGGAGACCTTATATGATTATAAGAAACCCTTGTAAACTCCAAAGATCAAATAACAAATTACTACTTGACCAAAGAATTACACGTTTTTAGAGCAAAATGCAGTGCACTTTAGACATCAAATGGCTCATAGTACTCTAAAAGGTAATGCACTTACTAAAGTTGATACAAACCACTAAAATACTTTCTTAACTTCTAGCAAACCAAGAGAAACATCGGAGAATATGCAACACATGCATGGAAGAACCTATGTGGTAGGCTGACTTGTAGACTCATACTTTTCCTCTAAGAAGACAACTTGGGCTTTTGGGGATGAACGAGAGAAGCTCATAACTTCCTCTAGGATTTCGAGAGCCTTGAAGTGGACTACTTTCGTAATAACAAGTTCCTCAAGGGAGGGTGAGTTTAAAAGGATTGTTTTAACAAATAGCACTTCGAGTCTGTATCCATGAAAAAATTGCATCTTTACCGTTTTAAGCATTTTCAGTCCCTTTCTTAGAACACAGCTGAAGGGATACTCCAAAATCCTCGAAGCATCCTCTTCATCATCTCTTTGGCAATACTACTTGCAAGACAAAGAAAAGAGAAATAGAAACAGCATATGCTGACTGGTCAGAAATTTGGAGAACAGAATAAAAACAAACTCATAAATTCATAATCCCCAATTGAGTAGGTATTTAATAGGTCTTACATAATGCGATGTCTCAATTCCAAGTTCATGTAGCGTTGGACATTTTTGAATCAATTCGGTAACAAAGGTGAAGTGCTTCGCACGAACAAAATTGACATGATGAATCACAACCACTTGCAGATTTTTTGCAATTGGGAACGTCCTTGCAGCTACGGCATCAGGTGTATGCTTTAAAACAAGAACAAAAGTTAACCTTGGAATATCTTTAACAAGCCAGAGTGAAGATACATAAGAAAACCAAACAAAAAATTACACTATCACATCTCCATAACAAAAAATAACTAAAAGATTTATTCTTACCGACAACAAATCTGCATGCAAGTAAAGAGTATTGATTACAGCAAAATGGAGCACAAACCATCTTGAAGCAGCCACACTTTTAAAACTACGGTCAATAGTTAAGCTCTTTAGTTTTGGTGCGCTAATCACAAAATTATCAATCCCAGGACAGTTATCAAAAGAAAGCTTCTCCAAATTAGGAAGACTGTAGACTGTTCCAGAGGGATCAGGCTCGAATATAACAAACTCAAAAACCAATGAAGTGACAGCAGGAAACACACAATGTGAATTAACAGGGAAGCGAAAACTGAATCCACCAATAAGGACTTGCTTAATTGAAGGGCAAGTGATTATACACTCTTGAAGAATATATGTTTCTTTAAAATTATGAATAGAAAGGTGAAGTTCCTCAATGCCATGTCTCGACAGAAAAAGACACCAACGATCTATATCAGGTGGTAGTGGCATAGGAAGTCTTCCAGATATGCAATACTCCTCATACTCTGAATGCGCCAGTGTAAACTTCTTAACCGGTCCCGTCCGGAGCATGACACACCGGTTCATTGTTTCAACGCAATCCTCTAGGGGTTCATCGTCATCGTCGAATTGTAGAAAATGGAAGAAGAAGTTCAAACCAAATTCCAGCTGGCCGTGGGCAAACCAGACATCCTTCCAGTGAGTTGAAAGAAGAGCCATTCTGGCAGCTTCACGCATGTTCAACAATTCTAGAATTGATTCCTTCAGTTCCGCTGGTAGTTGACTTATTAAGTCCTCTCTTTCGCCTGATGTGGTCTTTCTTCGACAAACACTGGCCATTACACTGATAATCTTCATTAATTAGTTGGTTTTTAGTACATAACATGCATAGCCGGGCAGGCAATGAATCATGATAAATACTTCTGTTAACAAATTGGACTTCTAGTATTAGCAAATAAGACTGTTTATATTGTTTAATTAGAACTACCAAATTGCACTGCAAATAAGGAATACTACTGATATAGCAAGGATTGTTAGGTGATTATGCTGAAATGGTGTGTGATGATAAAAGTTTTTATAACAATTAGGCGTAATACAATGGAACATTTCTACATTTTAAACTGAACTTCATCTTTCACAAGCCAATACGCACAATCTGAAAGAGATTCTGGCCAAAGAACAATAAACATTCATAATTGTGGGATTTGTGGCGAGCTTTTAAAAATATAAAATAACCGAAACAAAAAAACGAAACAAACCTCTATTGATATAGGTGATATCGCCTGCGGTTGAAGGTGGAAAGCTTTGAGCCAGTGTTTTGCCTAAAAACCGATGCAATTGAGCCAATTTAGGGTGGGTTCTATTTTTAAATAATACTCCGTAACGTTCTTTCCATAAACTTCTTTAACTTTCTTTTTCATATATTCGCAATTTATTACTAGTAGTACTAATCAATGTGTCTTACCATAAAAGGGGTTAGATCAGCAATATTACCAATTAAAATGATTTAGACAAATATAAGACTTGTTTTAATAATTTCCAAAAAAGAGGCCTTCCGTAGCAGAATTATAAAAATGGGACGCATATACCCTTAATGGCTACAGCAACAATACGCAACACCCTAGTAGGCTAATACTAACTACTTGTTGACATGAAGAAGAAAAAGGGGTCAACTATACTTGTGTGACCAGAAACTATGAGCTAGTGATTGTGGCAGTTGGCAGATTCAAAATTTGAAAATATAGCTGTTGGAGAGATGAGACAATCTGTCTTGTCTTTATCATTATTCTTGTAAGCTTAAATAGACAACTCTTGTAATAGATTTAATATAGGGAGAAATAAACTCCTCTATACTATTCTCTTCTCTCTCAAAACTCTCTTTCTCTCATCCCAGATTTCACAATCTATCTAAACTAGTTACTCTTTCTACATTCTAAACTCCTAACACTCAAATTCTCACATGGTATCAGAGCATACAAGCTCTTGAAACCTTTATTGTCTTCCGCAATTCACTCTGTTTCATCTCGTTTATCAAACCTTTTCTTATATACACTCTTTTCCCACTGATTAATAGCTCTTCAAGATGGAGAACTCTAAGATGGTGATGATTCCAGTTACCCTAAAGGGAGTAAACTATCTGTTATGGTCCAGAATGGTCAAAACCGCACTTGGAGGAAGGGGTCTATGGAACCATGTTTCTATTGGTGAAGTCCCTAAGAAAACCATCCAAGAGAAAGATGGTGTTGAAATGGTCTTGGCAGATGATAGGAAATGGGGTCAAGAGGATCTCATGGTGTTGTCCATCATCCAAAACAGCCTTGAACCATCTATTTTGGAAGCTTATTGTTACTGTGAGAGCTCTAAAGAGTTGTGGGATACACTTCAAAAGGTGTATGGCAACCTATCTAACTTGAGCCGTGTGTATGAAGTCAAGAAGTCGATTAACACACTTAACCAGGGGGACACAGACTTTACTCAGCATTTTGGCAAGTTCAGGAATCTTTGGGCTGAGCTTGAGATGCTGAGACCAAGTACTGTCGATCCCAAAGTGTTAAATGAGAGGCGTGAGCAGGATAAAGTCTTTGCGTTGCTTTTCACCTTAAACTCGGGGTACAATGATCTCATTAAATACATTTTGAGGGCTGAAAAACTACCATCACTTGAAGAGGTGTGTGCTCAAATCCAGAAGGAACAAGGCTCTCAAGGTCTCTTTGGAGGAAAAGGTGAACTCGTGATGGCAAACAAGGCTGATGGAGCAGTAGCTAATAAAGGGATTTACAAACCAGAGGAGAGGATGATGTGGATCTGTGACCATTGTAAGAAGAAGGGGCACATGAAGGACAAGTGTTGGATACTGCATCCTCACCTCAAGCCTCACAAGTTCAGGGAGCCAAGGTCACAGTTCATGGGCGCAAGAGCTCATTTCTCAGGAAACATGGGAGAACCAACTCCATCGGTATGCTCGTCCATGTGCTCCAATGCTACTGGAGAAGGAAGGTCTGTGGCATCAAGCTTCCAGTCCACCTCGAGAACAACTAAGGATGAGACCATCAAGAGGTCAGATCTGGATGCTCTCATCAAAGCTCTCAAGGAGAACTCTGGTAACACTCTTGGTACTTCATTAAGTGCATCAACCATTGCTAGGCCTTTAATTATTGATTCAGGAGCTTCACACCATATGATTAGTGACTCTAGCCTGATAAGAAATGTTGAACCGGCCTTAGGTAATGTTATGATCGCAAATGGTGACAAAATACCAATAAAAGGAATAGGAACTCTTAAGTTGTTTGATAAGGTGTCTAAAGCTTTTTATATGCCAACCTTTGCATCCAACTTGCTATCTGTTAAAAGGGCTGCTACTGATCTAAAGTGCAAAGTTATTTTCAGTCCTAATGATGTTCATTTTCAGGATATTGAGACTAGTAGACTGATTGGCAAAGGTGTGACACAAGGAGACTTATACTTACTCGAAGACACCAAGCTTGTTTCTGATTCCTCTTGTGCTTTTAGTTCTATTCCTGCTTTAGACAATGATGTGTTATGGCATGCTAGATTAGGCCATCCTCATTCTCGTGCATTAAACTTGTTGTTACCTGAAATTTCCTTTAAAAATGATGGTTGTGAGGCATGTATTCTTGGCAAACATTGCAAGACTGTTTTTCCTACATCAATGACCATCTATGAACATTGCTTTGATCTTATACACTCAGATGTTTGGACAGCACCATGTGAATCTAGAGAGAACCATAAGTATTTTGTGACTTTCATAGATCAAAAATCTAAGTATACATGGCTTACAATGATCCAATCCAAAGATAGGGTGCTAGAAGCGTTTATCAACTTTCAAACTTACATCACTAATCAGTTCAACATTAAGATCAAAGTGTTTAGGTCAGATAATGGGGGGGGGAATACACAAGTCATGCTTTCAAAAATCATCTAAACAAGCATGGAATCATTCATCAAACGAGCTGCCCATATACACCACAACAAAACGGTGTAGCTGAGAGGAAGAATAGGCATCTCATGGAAGTGGCAAGGTCTATGATGTTCTATACCAATGTACCCAAGAGGTTCTGGAATGATGCTGTCATGACAGCATGCTACCTCATAAACAGAATTCCAACAAGAGTACTTGGTGACATCTCACCATATGAGGTATTGAATAAAACTAAGCCCTCTATTAACCACTTAAGGGTGTTTGGGTGTTTGTGTTATGTGTTACAGCCAGGAGAACAGAGAAACAAACTTGAAGCAAAAAGTATCAAGGCTGTGTTTCTCGGTTACTCAACTACTCAGAAGGGTTACAAGTGCTATGATCCAAAAACCAGAAGAGTTTTAGTCTCTAGAGATGTCAAATGTGTGGAATCCAAAGGGTATTATGAGGAGAAGAGTTGGGACAACCTAAAAGACCTCTCTCAAGCACCCTCAGATAGGGCAAATAACTTGAGGCGTATTTTGGAAAGTCTTGGCATCAGTCTATCACATGAGAGTCAGGAAACCAGAACATCATCACCTCCTGAAGCTGACAGAGAAAGGACTGAGGGGGTGGAAGAGGTTGGAGAAGCCATTCATCCTGATCATGAGGGGGGAAATCAGCATGAACCTGATAATGATCTAGGAGTTCATGATCATGATGAAAGGCAAGAACAACAAGCATCAGCTACTCAAGATGATGATGATGATGAAGGGTCTAAAGAAGAGGAGCAACAAGAAGAAGTTCAAGTGCAACCACTTAGGAGAAGCACAAGGATCAGTAAACCTTCTAAGTGGGCAGACACAAGGGTTTACTTCAACGGTCAAGCTGTAGCTCATCCAATACAAGTTGTCTCCTCACTAGCTCATTACCCTCAAGTACATCAAGTTTTCATTGGACAACTAGATAAAGGACAAGTTCCAAGGTCATATGAAGAAGCAATGGAGCAAAAAGAGTGGAGAGACTCTGTTGGTGATGAGACTACTGCCATGATTGTGAATGACACTTGGTATGAATCCGAGCTTCCAAAAGGCAAGAAGGCAGTAACAAGCAAGTGGGTCTTTACCATCAAATACTTGAGCAATGGAAAGGTGGAAAGACACAAGTCAAGGCTGGTTGCAAAAGGCTTCACTCAGACTTACGGGGAGGATTATGTGAACACCTTTGCACCAGTAGCCAAGCTCCATACCATAAGGATTGTCCTCTCACTTGCAACCAACCTGGAGTGGGAGTTATGGCAGATGGATGTGAAGAATGCGTTTCTTCAAGGAGAGCTAGAAGATGAGGTTTACATGCATCCTCCCCCTGGTCTGGAACATCTAGTCAAACCAGGAAATGTGTTGAGGTTAAAGAAGGCTATCTATGGGCTGAAGCAATCACCAAGGGCTTGGTATCACAAACTGAGCACCACTCTGAATGGTAGAGGCTTTAGACGATCTGAGGCTGATCACACCCTCTTCACTCTCTCCAGTCCTCAAGGTATTGTTGTCATCCTTGTATATGTTGATGATATCATCATCACAGGGAGTGACAAGGAAGGTATACAATCCACTAAATCCTTTCTAAAGTCTGTATTTGATATTAAAGATTTAGGTGAATTAAAGTACTTCCTAGGAATTGAAGTATGCCGCTCTAAAGAGGGGCTCTTCTTATCCCAAAGGAAGTACACTCTTGATTTGTTGAGTGAGGCAGGAAACCTTGGAGGAAGATCAGCGAAAACTCCACTTGAGGAAGGATACAAAGTCTTGAGAGAGGGGGAGTTTGAGGACAAACCATTTGAAGATGTCAAACAATATAGAAGGATGGTTGGTAAGTTAATCTACTTAACCATTACACGACCTGACATTTGTTTTGCTGTGAACCAGGTGAGTCAACATATGCAGGCTCCCAAGGTTCACCATTGGAACATGGTTGAAAGGATCATGAGATACTTGAAAGAGGCTCCTGGTCAAGGAGTATGGATGAGTTGTAACAGAAGCACAGAAATTGTGGGATATTGTGATGCTGATTGGGCAGGTGATAGAGTTGATAGGAGATCAACCACTGGTTACTGCACATTCATTGGAGGCAACTTGGTTACTTGGAAGAGTAAGAAACAAAAGGTTGTGTCATGTTCAAGTGCAGAGGCAGAGTATAGGGCAATGAGGAAGCTCACAAATGAACTTGTGTGGATTAAGGGGCTGCTTAAAGATTTGGGCATAGAGACAACATCTCCGATCACTATGCATTATTGTGATAATCAGGCTGCCATTCACATAGCCAGCAACTCGGTGTTCCATGAAAGGACAAAACACATTGAAGTAGACTGCCACAAAGTGAGACAAGCTGTGCAGCGACAAATCATCCTACCTTGCTACACTAGAAGTGAAGACCAACTAGCCGACATCTTCACCAAGGCAGCAAGCACCAAAGTCTGTGAGTTCATCCATTCAAAACTGGGACTCATAGACCTCACAGCTGACTGATCCTCTTGCCGTGAAGACTTCACTCTTTGTTTTTCCTTTCTAAGTTTTTTTTCTCTCTTTTTAATAAAGAGGTTCTTCATGGTTCCAAGCTTGACCAGTCCCTATGCTCAAGCTTGAGGGGGAGTGTTGACATGAAGAAGAAAAAGGGGTCAACTATACTTGTGTGACCAGAAACTATGAGCTAGTGATTGTGGCAGTTGGCAGATTCAAAATTTGAAAATATAGCTGTTGGAGAGATGAGACAATCTGTCTTGTCTTTATCATTATTCTTGTAAGCTTAAATAGACAACTCTTGTAATAGATTTAATATAGGGAGAAATAATCTCCTCTATACTATTCTCTTCTCTCTCAAAACACTCTTTCTCTCATCCCAGATTTCACAATCGATCTAAACTAGTTACTCTTTCTACATTCTAAACTCCTAACACTCAAATTCTCACACTACTAAGTACTACTTCGTACGTACTTCATACTACGTACCACTGTATGAGTACTCTTATGTTTCTAGCCACTTTCCCATTCCCAAGATGTTAGCAAGGATTAAAAAAATTGATTTTTATATCCTTGACGTTGACCAATAGTATAGTGACCCAAAAAGTCAGTTACCAAACCCGTCCAGTTACAATTACCAATGCGTCCACTTACAATTATCAACCCGTCCCATTACTCACAAACCACCACTAGCCACCGCCCGGCGACGGTGACTGCCGCCACCCTTGCCCAGCAGTCCCATCCGCAAACCCCCAGCTCTCATTCCCACCCACAGCCCCTACCCAGCGCCCAGCAGTCCCCTGCCCCACTTCACCCCCAGCCCTGCACCCTATCCAGTCCATCCCCTTCGCTGGCAGCACAACACCATCCCAAGCCGTATACCCCCTCTCCAATCTCCCCAACCTTCGGACATCACCATCAAACCTAGTCGCCAACATTTAGCTCACCATCCACTACTGTCTCCCCCAGACTCGTGTCCAGCTTCCCCCCTCTACAGCCACCTCCACCCTACCCAATCCACTTTCC